CAGCCTCCCTCCTAACTTGATGGTAAATTTGGTTCCTAATCTGCAACCTCCATTGCAAATCGGCTAAGTCTTCTTAATATTGGGAACTAGGGTAAAATCTCCTGAATACTGGTTCCTTTCAAATTGGTGGCAACAATAAATCATCCCTCAGCTTCTCCTGCTTCTTTTCAATAATGTACCAGTTATGCCTGGTACACAGTTAGCATGAGCTGAGTAGCTGTCTTTCCCACCCCATTCATGCACTAACCTTTTCTTCTTCGGGGGCTACTCACTGTGCATGACATTGGAGGCATAGAATTTGGGATTGTGGGGGTTGACGTTGGCTGCATCACTACAGGATCGGTTGATATTCTCCGCCAAGTACCAACTGCGGTTTTCATCGAAGACAGAAAACAGCATGAACCTTGCTTCATCCGACATAATCTGGGAGAACCCCAAAAGAAGACAGTTGGAGTGTTGGACTAGGCTTGGTGCCTAAGGAATTGTTGAAATGATGGTGGGATTGGGCGGAGAAGAGTATTAATTACTCCCCTTGCTTCCTTCTTGCCTTCAGGAGCTGCTAAACTTGCTAACTTAAAGGGCATAGGTTAGAATCTGGGGAGCAGGGTGAGCTCCTGCTGTTAGCCCCAGCATCTGCCAACCTAGCTATGTGTTTACGTTTGTTATTGCAATTTGGTCTTTGTTCAACTGTTTCATATTGCTCTAAATCAATCAATAAATCATTTGTTAAAATGCAAGAATGGGCCAACCTGATTGCCTCTTTGGTCCATGGTCTCTTTCAGGCAGATGAGTAAGGGTCCAATTAGCCCAGACGCTAAATCCTTAGCAGGCTTGATGGAGCTGGAATAGTAGCGAGTCAGGCAATGGGGATCAGATCGGGTTGGGCCGTCCTCGGGCATTATTTTCCACCTGTATATAAACTTCTGGCCAGGTCGTATAGGCAACAGTTTCATGTTGAGATCTGGAAGGAAATGAACCGCAAGACAATCACTGTATCTGCTACCACACTTTGAAAATAGAAGTAGGCTTCACATTTCAGCTCATCCCACTCTGGTCACATTCAATCGCCTCATAACCATGTTGCAAACACATATTAAACATGCAGAATAAAATCTAAAGAATTTGGGCCGGGCTTTAGCGCAGCTGGTAAATGACCAGCAATGATAAGATCTACCAACCAAAAGGTTGCCAGTTCGAAGCCCTGGGTCAGTGTGAGCACCCGACTGTCAGCCCAGCTTACTATTGACCAAAACAGTTCAAAAACAGCTTGAGCTGTAATTAGAGAAATTAGGTACTGCTAAACAAAAGGGAGAGGTATTTTACCATAAAGAAAAAGATCAGAATATGCCCGGTGACCACAAGGAAGGAGGAAGTCCTGATGGCTCTTCGTCATAGAGTATGGAGCAACAGCACCCTCCTGTGGCTGGATTTGAGGACAACCTCCAAAGTTGCCAAAAAGCTGGACGTAGACACAACCTACCTCCTTTCTGTTCTGTTGTTCTGACTGTCTCTGTCCTGTCTATCCAAAATGTCATTGAATGTTTGTTTGTTTATTTATTTATTTACGGTATTCGTATCCCACCTTTCTTAGCCTGAAGGTGACTCAAGGCAGTTTACAGTCGGCGGAAATTCGATGCCCAGGCACACATAAAAAACAGTTTGTTTGCAATGTATGTGTACTGTGATCTGCCCTGAGTTCTCTTGGGGAGATAGGGCAGAATATAAATAAAGTGTCATTATTATTATTATTATTATTATTATTATTATTAATGTAGATACTAGGCATGTACAAAAAATTGGAAGAGGCAGAAATCGGAAGAAAATCCGAAGTTTTGTAAGTCGGAGGCCATATCCGAAATGTTTGTGTGACCCACACAAAATGTTTTAGAATCGACACTTGCCCCATACTTTTTTGTTTTAGTTTTGCAACTCTCGGAAGGCTGCCCAAGTCAGGTCATATTTGATGCAAGGAAGCAAAGTCATTAAGCCAAAAAGGCTGCCTGTTTGCCTTAGTGCCTGTTTTGCCATTCCTCTCCCGGGAATTAATGGAGTCTTGTCTTGGCATTAGGTGCTGGGAAAAGAGGGAGCAGTGCATTTTCGAAAGGATGAGGAGCCCTATGCCAAAGAATTCAAAAGACTCTGCCCTGAACTACATCTCCATTATGCATTAGCATCAAAAAGTCCCAATTAGGAGACGAGATCGGTCTGTAACCAGCCAAAGTTCCAATACATTTGTTAATATTCTACACTATGATTTCTGTTCCTGAGGTTTAAATGTCATTTCCTAATTGGTTCTGTCACAAAAACATGGCGAAAGTTTGCTACACTGCAAAAACTTTGTCTTTGCACAAGGGACATCATGCCGTGTGTAGCACATTTTGGTTTGTTGAGTCTCCACCAATTTAGTGAATTTAATACAAAATAATAATATGATATTATAATAATATATTTATATATTACATGTAATATTACTAATAATATTACAATATAACTGTATAGTACAATATAGTGATATATAGCGCTGATATTGTACTGTGCTAATGGTATAATGTATTGTGTGAATAAAGCCCGACTGCTCACTGGAGGGAAAGATACTGGAGACAAAGTTGAAGTACTTTGGCCACATCATGAGGAGACAGGAAAGCCTAGAGAAGACAATTATGCTGGGGAAAGTGGAAGGCAAAAGGAAGAGGGGCCGACCAAGGGCAAGATGGATGGATGGCATCCTTGAAGTGACTGGACTGACCTTGAAGGAGCTGGGGGTGGCGGCCGACAGGGAGCTCTGGCGTGGGCTGGTCCATGAGGTCACGAAGAGTCGGAGACGACTGAACGAATGAACAACAACAATGTATATATACCTTGTAAGCTGCTCTGAGTCCCCTTCGGGGTGAAAAGGGCAGCATATAAATGTCGTAAATAAACAAACAAACAAATAAATAAATTTTCTGCCACAAAAGCAAAGTTTCCGAGTAAAACAACTACTTTCAAAGTAAATGGGTTATTGTAGGTTTTTTTGGGCTATATGGCCATGTTCTAGAGTCATTCTCTCCTGACGTTTCGCCTGCATCTATGGCAAGCATCCTCAGAGGTAGAGGATGCTTGCCATAGATGCAGGCGAAACGTCAGGAGAGAATGCCTCTAGAACATGGCCATATAGCCCGAAAAAAAAGAAAAAAAGAAAAAAACCTACAACAACCCAGTGATTCTGGCCATGAAAGCCTTCGACAATACATTAAAGACTACACAATTAAACAGGAAATAACACTTAGAAATCAGGAAATTTCTTTTTTATTAAAAAAAGTTGTTTATAAAAACTTTGAAAATTCGCCAAAAATCTGTGTATAAGTGAAATGTTTTGAAATTTGGTGGGCTAACAGTGGTCAATAGGTTCTATCATTGTATCAAGTTTCACCCCAGTAGCTTTAAATATGAGGGAGATAAGAGCCCCTGGAGTTTCCCTAATTATAGTAATTTAATTATGTGTATGCGCAATTACTGTACTGAAATAGTAACGAAATTTCATTAGTCTCGTTATAGTAACAAAATGTTCACTAAGTATCCTTTAGAAATACTTTAGAAACAAAATGCCAACAGCCCTGAGTTTTTTAATGATTCTTGAATCAATTTTAATGGATCGCCCATCCCTGGTAGATACATTCACCATTTCATTAATGTGAATGATTAGATATAAAATTCCCATTTTCCTAATAGTTCTATCAGCAAAAATTAAAAAAGAGAAATTAACAAAGAGTATAGCTGTGAATTTATCCTTCTGACTGCCGTTCCATGAAATGTTTTCCTTCACCCGACTTACTTTTGGCGTTTCCCAGCTGGAAAAACGAGGTGACGTTGCTGATGCCATGGGGATATATGTTGTATGGCCGCCTGGCTAGGTTCTTAAACATAATCTGAAATGACAATAGCCAGATCCATTAGGGATTTTTAAAAACTTTATAGGATTGGGATGAGCTTTTAAGAGTGTACTGTGTTGTTTTATAGTTTGTATATAGTCTTACAATGAACAATAGTGAAATAATATTCATATTTATACTTTACTAATACATATACCCAGGTTGCCCAGGTATCACTGGGACCTTTACTTGCCTGCTTTCTCCAGTTCTGAGAGGGTCTAACTCACAATGTCTCCACAGCAATACTCTGACAATTTAGCCTTCTCTGTCAAAGAATTCTGGTGTCAAAACAAACTGCAAATCCCAGAAATCTATAGCAATGAACCATTGCTACGCCTCTGAACTAGATCTGAAAATATTTCTTAAGACAAACTGCAACTCATGACTTTTCCAAACTATCAACTTTCAGTATGGAGTTGGCTGCATACTCAAAGTCTCTCCTGGTGTGAGAGAACCATCTGTCGCTGAAGATGTTGCCCAGGTGACACCTGGATGTGTTACTATCCTGCGGGAGGCTTCTCTCATGTCTCTCATGCCAATGACTTAAATCAGGAAACACCTTCCTAAGATCTACAGAGATACTTGCAGGAACACCTCAGCAAGTGAGAGCCCAAAAGTGGCAGGCTAAAACTCAAAATCTCCATCAGTGGCTGATACCGGATGAGAAACTCCCACAGAACACAGAAGACTGGGAGACTTGGAAGGCACTGAACAGATTGAGATGCAGAGCCAGTCTCAAGAAATGTCTCAAGACGTGGAGTCCATGACATGCAAGCAAACTGTAGACCACCTACTACAATGCAACCTGAACCCTGCTACATGCACAATTGAGGACCTTCTTACAACAACACCAGAGACACTCCAAGTGGTCAGCTTCTGGTCAGAGGAAATCTAGCATAATGCCAAGTTTTTAACTTTGTGTTTTTTTAAAATACCTTATAACTGTATTCTCAATTGCGTCTGACATGATACATAAATAAAAATAGACCTGGCTGTGGCGCAGCTAGTAGGGAGTCACCTGCATTAAAATCACTATGAGAGGTCATGAGTTCAAAACCAGACCAGGTCGGAGTGAGCCTCCGGCCATTTGTCTAGTTTGCTGTTGACCTTTGCAGCCCAAAAGACAGTTGCATCTGTCAAGTAGGAAATTTAGGTACCGCTTATGTAAGGAGGCTAATTTAACTAATTTACGACACCATAAAAAAACTCTCCAGCAGCATGCAAAAGAATGAGGAAGTACTCCATCGGTGTCACAAGTGGATGGTGAAGCAACAGCTCCCCCAGTGGCCTGAATTCAAAAAGCATACCCTTATGAAGCTGGAAAGTTAAATAGCTTCTGTGTCTCTGTCTATATATGTTGTGTGTCTATGGCACTGAATGTTTGCCATGTCTGTGTGCATTGTGATCCACCCTGAGTCCCTTGCAGAGTGAAAAGGGTGGAATATAAATACTGTAAATAAATGAATAAATAAATAAATAAATATAGAGTCTCTCTCATTTTTATCTCTATCTCTGTCTTTCTTTCTTTCCTCTTTACTTACCATAAATTCAACTGCATTAAAATCACTACTGACTGAGAGGTCATGAGTTCGAGTTCGGAGTGAGCTTCCGGCCATTTGTCTAGCTTGCTGTCAACCTGTCTTTCTCTCTTTCCTCTTTACTTACCATAAATTCATCCCCAACTTCTCCTTTGAGAACCGGCCCCAGGATCCCCATATGATCTGGATTCGACCCCTTCTGTCTCGTGAATGTCCTATCCTCGTATTCCACAAACCTCACTTTCTTATACTTTGAGCCAATCCGCTGGGGACCAGGTGCCAGAAACTGCCTGCAAAAGAGAAAGTGTCTGTGTAGAACCACCCCAAGTTCCATGCCTGGCAGAAGACCAATCTCTAGCCACGTACTTATCTGGGTTCAAGCCCTTGGCTGGGGCATAGTCCCAGTCCACCTCTTCTGCTGCAATGTAATGCTCCCACATCACAGAAAGCCTCTTGGCACGGGAACGACCGGTAATCCTGGGTGTAAAATCTCCCATGTTGATCACCACGGTGTCCATATCATAGTCATCTTCATACTCATCTTCGTCTTCACTTGGCTCTGCCATCCTCATCTTCTTCTCCAGTGGATCTGGACAGGCATCCACTTTAATGAAGGTTTCCATTCCAGCTGGAAGCAAACCGAAAACAATTCCTTCACTGTATTAAAGTAAAGGTAAAAGTTTTCCCTGGCATTAAGTCTATTTGTGTCTGACTCTGGAGGGTGGTGCTCATCTCTATTTCTAAGACAAAGAGCCAGCTTTGTCCATAGATGCTTCCAAGGTCATGTGGCCAACATGACTGCATGGAGCACCGTTACCTTCCACATAAGTGGTACCTATTGCTCTATTCACATTTGCATATTTTTGAACTGCTAGGATGGTAGAAGCTGGGGCTAGCAATAGGAGCTCACCCCGCTTCTTGGATTCAAACCACCAACCTTTTGGCCACCAAGTTCTGCAGCTCAGTGGTTTTGCACCACCAAATATATTCCAGAGCATGCGAGGCTGGAGGGAAGCTCACTCCAGTGGGTCCCTTCAAGTCATGGGAGTTCTGGGTAGGAAGTTTGGCCCAATTCTCTTGCTGGTGGGGTTCAGAATGCTCTTTGATTTTAGGCCAGCTATAAATCCCAGCAACTACAACTCCCAAATGTCAAGGTCTATTTTCCCCAAACTCCACCAAGTGTACACATTTGGGCATTTTGTGTATCCGTGCCAAGTTTGGTCCAGATCCATCATTGTTTGAGTCCACAGTGCTCTCTGATGTAGGTGAACTACAACTCCCAAACTCAAGGTCAATGCCCACCAAACCCTTCTAGTATTTTCTGTTGGTCGTGGGAGTTCTGTGTGCCAAGTTTGGTTCAATTCCATCGTTGGTGGAGTTCAGAATGCTCTTTGATTTTAGGCCAACTATAAATCCCAGCAACTACAACTCCCAAATGACAAAATCAACCCCCGAACCCCACCAGTGTTAAATTTTGGGCGTATTGGGTATTTGTGCCAAATTTGGTCCAGTGAATGAAAATACGTCTTGCATATCAGATATTTACGTTACAATTCATAACAGTAGCAAAATGACATTTATGAAGTAGCAACAAAAATAATATTATGGCTGGAGTCAACACAACATGAGGAGCTGTATTACGGGGTCATGGCATCAAGAAGATTGAGAAACACTGGCCTGGATGGTAAATATGAGATTCATACACGCCTTCTCCATCTTGGATTCATAGTATCTCATCATAGTTTACTACCTTGTTGATGGGATGGAATTTGGCAGAACATCCGAAATGTGCCATTGGTTCTGGGCGTTGTCTCGGCAGTGAGAAATGTGGCTGGAGAGATGTCCAGAGTGGCCTGTCGGTGGTCCCTCACAAGAAAAGAGTGTCCCTCAAAGAAAATGGAGTGGACTTCAGGTCTGGTTCCAAGGCCAATGACATACCAGTAGATGGGCCTCTTCTGACACACCTTGAGCTCTGTCAGGAGAAAGGCATCACAGTGGGTCATAGCATGAAGGTACAGGGATTTTTAATTACAGCCCTTATCCTTCCTAATCTACTTTCCTCAGGCTTCTCTAATTCCTATGAGCTCAACTGGAATGCCAACCATAACCGAGAGGAAGCAATCCCTGTTGCATTACATTTTTGATCTTGAAGAGGCAACTCAAAGAGATAGACACCTCTAGAACTTATGTGTCGATTGGCATCTCTAGCACTTCTTTGCCGAAGGACATTCCTGTTCTAATATATCAATAACACATCTTCCTGAATGTTTCCACTGTCCTTGGGATGTTGGAATAAGGACCATCATATTAATGGCTTGCCCATCGTTAGTTAATATGGCAATGGAGCACAGTATTCTGTATGTAACGTGGCCAACCAGATTCTTGTGCAGAGTCTGATGGTGCGTAATTCTTACATACCCCCTACCCAATAGTCACTGAAATACTACACCGCCTGAGCTCTGCGAGTGCAGCATTTTTCCAAATGAAGCATAGTGTTTGAGAACCGAGACATCCATAGGGAGACCAAGGTGCTTGTTTATAAAGCTATTGTCCTCTCAACCCTGCTATATGCCTGTGAGACGGGGACTGTCTACAGACATCACACGCAACTCCTGGAATGATTCCATCAGCGCTGCCTCCGAAAAATCCTGCAAATCTCTTGGGAAGACAAGCGGACAAATGTCAGCGTGCTGGAAGAAGCAAAGACCACCAGCATTCAAGCGATGGTCCTCCACCATCAACTGGCCACGTTGTCCGAATGCCCGACCACTGTCTTCCAAAACAGTTACTCTACTCTGAACTCAAGGATGGAGAACGGAATATTGGTAAAGAGATTTAAAGATGGGCTCAAAGCCAACCTTAAAAACTCTGGCATAGACACCGAGAACTGGGAAGCCCTGGCCCTTGAGTGCTCTAATTGAAGGTCAGCTGTGACCAGCAGTGCTGTAGAATTTGAAGTGGCATGAATGGAGGGTGAAAGAAAAAATGTGCCAAGAGGAAGGCGCATCAAGCCAACCCTGACCAGGACCGCCTTCCACCTGACAATGTCCTCACTGCGGGAGGAGATGCAGATCAAGAATAGGGATCCACAGTCACCTATGGACCCACCGCCAGTACACCAAACTTGGAGGACAATCTTACTCGGTCAATGAGGGATCACCTAAGTAAGTAGCAAGTTTATTCGATGCTTAGACCATAGGTCTTTCACATACAAGTCAAGGCAAATAAATAAATACATGAACACCAGATTATCAAGTACAATATAAAATACACAATAAAATCCTATAAATCATTAAAAGCTACATATATCGATGGCAAGATGCACCTTTAAAATACTACATAATGTGTAGACTCATACCTACGTAATTAAAAAACCAAGTAAAAGCAAATAGATACAGCATTATTAAAACTACATAAACAGCCACTATTAGTTGAAAGCATCCCCAGCACAGTCAACTGCAATATCAGAGATTAGTTTTGCCCGGATTTTCTGTGCTGCCAGGGCAAAAAGAGACACCTTTTGAGTAACCACGGGGTTAGTGTCAGCCAAGAGATAAAAAATCTTTTCAGACACAGTGTTGGTCTGAAGGAGGTGAAGAATAAACCCGAGTATTTTGGTTCTTGGATCAGAATACAAAGGGCAGAAAAGCAAATAGTGAGGCAGATCCTCAATTTCCGGGGCCCCGCAAACACATAGACACAAGAGCTAGAGGGGTGCCCGTATATCTGCCATCAATCACTGCTGTGGGCATACTTTGAAAACGAAGGGCAGTGAAGGCTTGTCTAAGTTTTGGAAATGTGAGCCTAGTCAGGTAGATAGCCCTATCATGGTCAAGTTTGTACAGTCTAAACCAGTGGGAGAATTTGGAGTTATTAATGGCCTGCCTATCATGGTGGGCACAATTATTAAAAAAATATTCCTGGAGTTTCTCCCTTGAGTTCAAGATAGAAGGCTTATCAGACAGAGTGGGGTGAAATTCCAGCAGCTTCTGGTATCTAGTGTTCCAGACTTTGAATTTTGCTAGTTGTTCAAAACATCCCTTGGGAAGAACCTGAACTGAGGAGTCTTTTACATTTCTCCAATAATTAAATAGGGTAAAATGAACACGTGATCTAATTTGATTACTATCAGTGACTTACTAGTAAGTCACTGATAGTAATCAAATACCTGAATGATCTCCATCCTGGACATAGTGGAGAAGGATGCGGCATATGCTATGAAAGTAGGATATAAGGTGTGTTCAGTGCAGTAAAATTTTCAGAGTGACTCTTGCAGAATATTTAGCATGTTCCACGACTTTCAACTGTTTTTCTATACAGATCACAGTCAACCTCTCACTTCAATCTTGGCATATAATCACTTCTCTTGGTTTGTTAACATTTCATCACCTCTTTCTTTCTTTTCTCCTTGAGGATAAGGGAACATGTGGTCCTTACCAGGTAGAGGAGAATGCATGAAGCCATTGATAGTGTGCATCTGAGCCCCGCTGTTTGTGGAAAAGGCATTCTCTATGGTATACCAGCTTTTGCCTGATAGGAGAGGAAAAAGATAAATCAATGTATTGTTGAAAGCTTTCATGGCTGGAATCACTGGGTTGATGTAGGTTTTGGGGGCTATATGGCCATGTTCTAGAAGCATTCTCTCCTGATGTTTCACCTGCATCTATGGCAAGCATCCTCACTAACTCCCAAATGACCAAATCAATCCCCCCCAACCCCAACAGTATTCAAATTTGGGCGCACCGGGTATTTGTGCCAGATTCAGTCCAGTGAATGAAAATACATCCTGTATATCAAATATTTACATTACGATTCATAACAGTAGTAAAATTATGAAATAGCAATGAAAATAATTGTATGGTTGGGGATCACCACAACATGAGGAACTCTATTAAGGGGTCATAGTATGAGGAAGGTTGAGAAACATTGGCCTACATGCATTGTGTGTATGTCTGCAGGTTGATGCATCCTTAAATGGCTGTGTAGAAGTATAGAATCATCTACACAGCTCCATACTGCAACTTTGCAGGAGACCTAATGTTTTCTAAAGGGAGGCAAACCTATTTATTGCACTGTGAAAAGCAATAGAACATAAAGGAAATCATGACAAGCAACAATGGCATTGAATGTTTGCCGTATATGTGTTCTGTGATCCAGGGTGAGAAGGGTGGAATATAAACACTGCAAACTAATAAATAAATAAATATCCACAGCTCAAATTAGGTACGTGGTGGAATGACCCTCAACTTAGCCATAGGTTATCTAAAATATATAATTTGTGATGGCGCGAGTGGCACCACCTATATGTAGAACTTTAATTTGCAAAGGTTTAAACTGTGTAACATGCTCTGACTTGTCTGTTTTCTCTGTAAATGTATAGTTGGATTGATTGGTTATTTATAGCTGTCAATCAATGTTGTTTGCACCAGTTTAATTGCTCCTTCAGCTCAATTGTTTGGCCCCACCTCTTCCTAGAAGAGGAGGGTAGTGTTTCCTTCTTCATTCTACCATCAGACAGCTTTATAGATGGACGTGAGAAAGACTTGGCGCTAAAGCCCTTGTTTTAGGCTATCTCTCATCACCAATTCTCAGGTTTTTACCCTTGAGACTCACACTTCATGCCCAGATCTTCCTGGACGACTTTGAGGAGTCTCAAGCGCCTTCCAACCAGTCCTTTGGCACCAGAGGAAGACTTTGTGCCTTCAAATATAGGCCATTTGGACTGGGGTTGTGGATGCTCCGGCATTCACAGCCATTGAGAAAGAGGGAACTCGGAAAGCTTCTCAGCTTCAAACTCCTTGGGCCCAAGACTTCAGAGACTGTAACGTATATTTTCTTTATCCCTGTTGAAACATTAAGTTTATGCCTAATAAAGATAACTCATTGTGAACAATAAATACCATTTCGAGTTATCTATTGTGTCTTGGTCCTTGGGAGTTCCAGTTTCCTAAAGGAGGGCAAGAAGCAATCCCCTGGGGAGAGATGTCACGTCCATGTTTCTTTCACTAAGATCTATAGACCCCAGGCGCGACGGCACATAATTTTTGCCCTAAATCTGCCCTTGACATCTACATGAGGTTGACTAATGCATGAGTATATAAGGTACAATAAGTTGAGGAATGTTTACTTCTCTTCTCACCATCAATGCCACAATCCTCTAACCATTCTTACCTTCATCAAACACAGCAAAGAGCAGCACGAATTCTTGTAGCAAGCTCTGGGTTTTTCTACTCATCAGTGTCCCTGCAGAAAAAGAGACTTTTGAATCAAGCAAAACATTGGGTGCTTCGAGAGATTTCATGTTTTGGATGCATGCATGCACACAGAGAGACATGTATGCACTCGCACACGCATCCTCGTCTGCCTAGCCTGGCATTCATGTGTTTGCACATTATCATGTACTTTATAAAACCTGAGTTGTTGTGATGTACAAACCTGCCTCTATGAACAAGTAAGGTTTATTAACCAGCAAAGGTGCACAACAATGGTTTGTAATTTATTTATGCTTCATCTACAGGTTTCACACATGGCCTGCAATAATTTTATGCATTAATTTGAATATTTTGGGCATTGAACAAACTTTGTGTACGCTGAACCCTCAGAAAGCAAAGATAACACGATCTCAACCATGAGCACAACTTTTGATTTTTAAGTACTCCAATTTTTAGGATTCCAAGCAAAGGATGCTTGCCCTGTATTGCTATTGTTGTTGTTGTTTGTTCTATTCTTACTGCTCTTTCCTTTTTTTAAGGCTTTCACATCTAGTACTCTTACCTGGTTTACAGACCAGCAGCGGCCCTATCAAGCCCGAGTTAACATCCTTTACGCTGTCCACCTTAGAGGAATAGGCATAAGTCAAACATTGTGGGTCAGCTCCAGTTGGCCCATGTTCTTGAGAGATTTCCCACACATATGTGTGAATCTGGCCGGGTTTCACCGCGTCATCTTCTTTCTCGGTCCGACTCGTTTTATCGTTATAGCCGGCTCCTGAAACCAGATTAGCAGCTTCATAAACATCACTTTTACTGAACCCCATCTATACTGCCTTACAATCCAGATTATCTGTTTTGAACTGGATTATATGGCAGTGTAGACTTATATAATCCAGTTCAAAGCAGATAATCTGGGATCACATACTGTATTATATGCAATGAGACAATCAGGGCAAGACTTGCACTAAACAATGCCCAAGAAAATCAGTGCAAGCCACTTGGCTTCTCAAGGCAGAAAAATCTCCCCCTGTGAAGTAAGTGTCTATACGGAAGCCCCACCAGATTTCAAATAAAAGGATATAACTTTGGTTAAGCCTTTAATGTTCAGTCTCCCGTACTCAATGATCTCCAAGCGTTAGGAGTGCATCTACACTGTAGAATGAATGTCGCTTGCACCACTTTTACTGCCACGACTAAATAATAATAATAATAATAATAATAATAATAATAATAATAATAATATTAAATATATTATAATAATATAATATATAATATATATTATAATATTAATATATTATAATAAATTATTATTATTATTATTATTATTATTATTATTATTATTATACAGTTAAAAAACAAAATCTGGATCATCGATGTTGAAATCCCAGGGTGACAGTAGGTTTGCAGAGAAGCAACAGGAAAAGCTGACACAATATGAGGATTTAAAGATGGAACTGCAAAGACTCTGGCACAAACAAGTAAAGGTGGTCCCAGTGGTGATCGGCACACTGGGTGCAGTGCCTAAAGACCTTGGCCTGCACTTAAACACAATCAGCGCTGACAAAATTACCATCTGTCAGCTGCAAAAGGCCACCTTACTGGGATCTGCACGCATTATTCACCGATACAGCTCACCGTCCTACACACTTGGGAAGTGTCCGACGTGTGAGCCAGCAGAGTGACCTTGTTTGCTGTGGACTCGTCTTGTTGTGTTTCAAATAATAATAATCTTTATTTATACCCCTCAACCTCTCCCCAAAGGGGACTCGGGGTGGCTAACATGAGGCCAAGCCCAAAGATACAATACAGCAAAATAAAATACAGAATGCAGACAACAAAAAATTACAGTATATTCTGGCGTATAAGACTACTTTTAAACCCAAGAAAATCTTCTCAAAAGTCAGGGGTCGTCTTATACACGGGTGTAGTCTTATGCATGGGAGTCGTCTTAACTCTATATTTTAACTGGAAAAGTTGGGGGTCGTCTTATACGCCCAGTCGCCTTATATGCCGGAATATACGGTACATCAGAATAAAATACATACACAAGCAAAATAAATAAATAAAGCAAATTAACACAATATAAAATCAAACAGAATGGGCAGGCCAAATGGACAAGGTAAAATGATAAAATCATCCAATGCTATGGATTCATGGAAATTTTAAGGTGAGGCACCACTAACATTTTTTTGCCAGAGAAGGGGAAAGACCCTATGAAACTACAACTCCCATGATTGTGACAGTTAAAGTGGTGCCAATTTGCATTCTCCAGTGTAGATTACAGTTGTGTGTGGTCCCGTTTTTCTTTGTTTCATCCGTTCTTTCATTACTTTTGTTACCTTCGGGAGCACGTAACGGGAACCCCCCCCCCCCCAAAAAAAATCAGCTCAACATGAAAGCAAGCAGGAGCCAATCATCGGCTCCTCCTCTGCTTTCATGAGCACATGGTGCTCCATGCCTTGGAAAGAGAGTGTGTGTATATGGCATGCAGGCCAAGCACGGGTGCCTGCCTGCATTCAAGCACCTCCTCTAGAGAACAAACAGGTAAGAAGCCTCCTTAAAGAACATGCCTACCTGCAGCTGAGCGCCTCTCTTCTAGAGTAGCACAGCTGAAATACCTAAAATGATGGGAAGGGGAGCCTGGCAACCCACCCACCCCTCCAGAATGGGTTGATAGAAAACATCTTTCAGCATCCCAGAGCGAAAACATATCTACCCTCCCAATTTCAGGAGGATCCCAAAAAATGGATCGGGGGCCCCACCAAAAGCCACAACATGAAACATGTCAAGGTTTACCCTGAAAGCACGGCCTTAGTGTAGATGCACCCTGGATTTCCTCAAGGCAACCATCTTTAGACAGGTTTTAGACCAGGGATCCACAAACTTTTTAAACAGAGAGCCAGGTCACAGTCCTTCAAACTGTTGGAGGGCCGGATTATAATTTTAAAAAAGCATGAATGAATTCCTATGCACACTGCATATATCTTATTTATAGTGGAAAAGACACTTAAAAACAATACAATCATTAAAAAGAAGTACAATCTTAACAAGTATAAACTTATTAGTATTTCAATGGGAAGTGTGGGTCTGCTTTTGCTGATGAGATACGATTGTTGTTGTTGTGTGTTTTCAAGTCATTTCAGACAGGTTGACCCTGAGCGAGGGCTGGATAAATGACCTTGGAGGGCCATATCTGGTCCCCGGGCCATAGTTTGAGGAGCCCTGCTTCAGACTATGGTCAGGCTTCCAATTGTGTTGTACTCACTGAATTCGTTTCTACATAAGGCTAGTCAGCCAGTATTTTTGCACTTTTTATTAATGTTATTTTTTATTTTAAAACTCATTTACTATGTTTTATATGTAATTCTGTATGTATTATTTATATGTAATGGCATTGAATTGTGCCAGATGTAAGCCACCCTGCGTCCCACCCTTGGGGGGGGGGGGGTTGAGAAGGGTGGGGTACAAATGTTTGAAATAAATAAATAAATATAGCAGACTCTCCAACATTTCCCAAAATGAAAACTGGGACCTTGTATGACAAGCGACGTCAGAGTTTGGAGAGATGCAAAACAAGCGAGAAGAGGCTGCTGCAGTTTGCTTTTGCCTGGATCTACAGGGAAAGTCAAGATTCAGCACCTTCCTCTGCCTTCTTTTCACGTTTGAACTTGGTAAGCTGAGCACAAATGGGAGGAAAGAGAAACTGGGATATTTTTAAGACAGTTCAGAAGTGGGATGACAGCGGGTAAATCAAGACTGTCCTACCGAATCAGGACAGCTAGAAAGAGAAGAGATTTAGAGGACAGTCCAGTAGGTAAGGTCAAACCCACCTTCAGAAGCTTTCCAAAAGGACACTCCAATGGCGTGTATGCTGAAAGGATGGGAAGCCATGTTTTTAAAAGTCACAACCACTTTGTCATGGGCTTCGGCTTGAATAGTTGGGCCCAAAATACCTGATGAAGAGGAGGAGATATCAAGAGAGTGACATTTTTCTGTTGAGCAGCAAAGATAATATAAAAAACACATTTCATTGGGAACCAACAGTTGAATCTCTTTGAATCTCATTCGGCGGCTAGTTTGAGAAAAAGCAGGTTATATATACTACCAAGAAGAAGAAGAAGAAGAAGAAGAAGAAGAAGAAGAAGAAGAAGAAGAAGAAGAAGAAGAAGAAGAAGAAGAAGAAGAGGAGGAGGAGGAGGAGGAGGAGGAGGAGGAGGAGGAGGAGGAGGAGGAGGAGGAGGAGGAGGAGGAGGAGGAGGAGGAGGAGGAGGAGGAGGAAGAGGCATCAAAGAGTTGGAGGAGACCTCATGGGCCATCCAGTCCAACCCCATTCTGCCAAGAAGCAGGAATGTTGCATTCAAATCACCCCGACAGATGGCCATCCAGCCTCTGTTTAAATCTTCCAAAGAAGGAGCCTCCACCACACTCCGGGGCAGAGAGTTCCACTGCTGAACGGCTCTCACAGTCAGGAAGTTCTTCCTCATGTTCAGATGGAATCTCCTTTCTTGTAGTTTGAAGCCATTGTTTCGTGACCTAGTCTCCAGGGAAGCAGAAAACAAGCTTGCTCCCTCCTCCCTGTGGCTTCCTCTCATATACATGGCTATCATGTCTCCTCTCAGCCTTCTCTTCTTCAGGCTAAACATGCTCAGCTCCTTAAGCCGCTCCTCACAGGGCTTGTTCTCCAGACCCTTGATCATTTTAGTCACCCTCCTCTGGACACATTCCAGCTTGTCAATATCTCTCTTCAATTGTGGTGCCCAGAATTGGACACAATATTCCAGGTGTGGTCTAACCAGAATAGAGGGGTAGCATGACTTCCCTAGATCTAGACACTATGCTCCTATTGATGCAGGCCAAAATCCCATTGGCTTTTTTTGCCACCACATCACATTCTTGGCTCATGTTTAACTTGTTGTCCACGAGGACTCCAAGATCTTTTTCACACGTACTGCTCTCCAGCGAGGCATCCCCCTCGGAGGAAGGAGGAGGAGGAGGAGGAGGAGGAGGAGGAGAAGAGACGTCAGGAGTGTTCTTAATGATATGCCCGTCCACACATACCTGTTCTCCAAATAATATCTGATTGCAGAGAACTAGTTGGTGTCACAATGTGGTCAATACTCCTTTTGTGTGTCACAATGTGGTCAATACTCCTGATACACTTCGGAATTGTTACATATCACTACATTTAATAATAATAATAATAATAATAATAATAATAATAATAATAATAATATTTCTGACTGACAGAGTTTTGGAGCATAATACTCCTGACCACACAATCGTGTTAAAAAACAAAGTATGGATTTCGATGTTGCAATCTCAGGTGACTGCAGGATTGCAGAGAAACAACTGGAAAAACTGACACGATATGAGGATTTAAAGATTGAACTGCAAAGACTCTGGCACAAAGCAGCCTAGGTGGTCCCAGTAGTGATTGGTACACTGGGTGCAGTGCCTAAAGGCCTTGGCCTGCACTTAAACACAATTGGCGCTGACAAGATTACCACCTGCCTGCTGCAAAAGGCCACCTTACTGGAATCTGCACACATTATTCACCGATACATCACACAGTCTTGGACACTTTGGAAGTGTCTGACGTGTGATCCAATACAACAGCCAGCAGAGTGTCTGCTGTGGACTCATCTTGTTGTGTTTCAAATAATAATAATCTTTATTTATACCCCGCCACCATCTCCCCAAAGGGGACTCAGGGCGGCGAACATGAGGCCAAAGCCAAAAATAATACAGCAAAGTTAGAAATAAAACAAAAAGACAAAAATTACATCACAGCAAAATACATAAATACATTTTGTATTAACCACCATTTCGGATCAGTCTATGCCATATTATGAAATATCTGGGTGATGGAAACCAAGCCTAAGCACAAAATGCATTTCGCTTACATATACGCTTTTCAGACATTTTCATGCAATATTTTTTAATCATTCTGAGCATAAAACAAAGTTTGCGTACACTCAAACACCCATGTGGAAATTTCCAGATTTGGGGGTGTCTCAGACTTTGAATTTCCACACAATAAATGCTCAACCTGTAAAAATGGATGACTTCGAAAAGAAAAGTATTTCATTTTACCCATCCAAGCAGGCTTAGGTTTTGTTTGTGTGAATGTCGAGTCCGTGTATTCCAAATATACAGCCTTCTTGTACTGAGTGATCGTGGTGTGGGAGAATGCCCTGGGGAAGTAAAAGATTTTTGTTAAAATCATTGAAATGCTTGGCAATGATACTGACTACAATTGCTTTGGATCCTGATTGTTGTACTAAGAGCAGCTGATTCAAAACAGAGAAAAAGAAAAATCCGTTAAAAAAGAAACACTATTAAAATAGTGTAATTTTTTGAAAACAATAATAAAACAATGTATTGTCAAAAGCTTTCATGGCTGGAATCACTGAGTTGTTGTGATTAGCAAGCTTGAATAGCATTGAGTAGCCATGAACTTGCAAAGTTGCCTCCAGGCTCTCTTCAAACAAAGGTTGGATGCCCACCTCTCAGGAGATACTCCACTTAGGCAGAAAAAATGAAATGCAAAAATACAGAATGGGGGACAATGCCTGGCTCGAGAGCAGTACGTGTGAAAAAGATCTTGGAGTCCTCGTGGACAACAAGTTAAACATGAGCCAACAATGTGATGCGGTGGCAAAAAAAGCCAATGGGATTTTGGCCTGCATCAATAGGAGCATAGTGTCTAGATCTAGGGAAGTCATGCTACCCCTCTATTCTGCTTTGGTTAGACCACACCTGAAATATTGTGTCCAATTCTGGGCACCACAATTCAAGAGAGATATTGACAAGCTGGAATGTGTCCAGAGGAGGGCGACTAAAATGATCAAGGGTCTGGAGAACAAGCCCTATGAGGAGCGGCTTAAAGAGCTGGACATGTTCAGCCTGAAGAAGAGAAGGCTGAGAGGAGATATGATAGCCATGTATAAGTATGTGAGAGGAAGCCACAGGGAGGAGGGAGCAAAGTTGTTTTCTGCTGTCCTGGAGACTAGGACGTGGAACAATGACTTCAAACTACAAGAAAGGAGATTCCATCTGAACATTAGGAAAAACTTCCTAACTGTGAGAGCTGTTCAGCAGTGGAACTCTCTTCCCCAGAGTGTGGTGGAGGCAGGCCCGTACCAGGATTTCTATTTGGGGGGGGGGGGTGGTGAGTTTTTTCAGGGTTTCGGCTGAGTTTGTTTCGGGGGGGGGGGGCTGAGTCTGAGTGAAAGAGGGTCTACACTAGCAAACCTTTTGTATCATTACCCCAATACCCCCATGCATATGGGATATATTGAGTATGGTGATCAGATCATGATATGAATAAACATAACAATTTAAATAATGCACCAGTAAGGCCTTTTCGCGAACCACCATGAGAATTTCGGGGGGGGGGGTGAATCCCCCCCCCCCCCCCCCCCGGCTACATGCCTGGGTAGAGGCTCCTTCTTTGGAAGCTTTGAAACAGAGGCTGGATGGCCATCTGTCGGGGGTGCTTTGAATACAATTTTCCTGCTTCTTGGTAGGGGTTGGACTGGATGGCCCATGAGGTCTCTTCCAACTCTATGATTCTATGACTATACACCCCATAATCCTTTCCAATTAGCCATATGAGTGCTTTGGTTATGTCCTAAGGTGTATCTACACTGTAGAATTAATACTGTTTGACACCACTTTAGTTGCCATGGCTCAATGCCTTAACAAGAGTGGTATTAGGTCTTTGGAGACGCATTGAACATCTGGAGGACGTGAGGTGTTGGCTTGCCAGGAATTGACTTGGCAATTAGGTCTTCTTTTTGGATGACTCTGACTCATGCAAGGAAATACGAGATAGATGCGTATTTCATGCGGATATAAAGCAGGCTCTAGTGCAGGCATGGGCAAACTTCGGTCCTCCGGGTGTTTTGGACTTCAACTCCCACAATTCCTAACAGTCTACCGGCTGTTAGGAAGTGTGGGAGTTGAAGTCCAAAACACCCGGAGGGCCGAAGTTTGCCCATGCCTGCACTAGTGCCACAAAGATAGCTCTAATTCAGTTGGAGAAGTCTAGAACTTTGAAGGGATTCAAGAATGGTTAAACATGGCCTGTAGAAAACATGTAGAAACTGGGTTTCCAAGATCTGAGTTTCCAAGATCTGCTAAGCTTCCAAGATCACACAGGTCCTGATGCCTTATAAGGTGGTTCCCACCCAAAATAAGCAAATGACAAAAAAGCTAGGAGCGTTTAAAGTTCTTAGGCGCCTTCAGTCTGTAAGAATTCAGAGTAGGAAGCCAAAGTCAACAGGGCTTCCCATTGTATTCAAGGTTTCAACAATCTAGGTCTTCTCGTTTGGCAACAAGAGGAGTGACCTTCCAGCTTGAAGGCAGCAGGACTTGTTCATCTCACTCCGGTTGAAAAAAACAGCAGTGGTATTTTATGGGCTAAACAAACTGGAAGGTCCTCTGGAATTTATCTGCTCCACAAACACAATGCCGCTTTCCATGCAGAAACCAGATAACGGCGTGGAGGAAATTATGCCCCGCTTGTGCGTCGAAACGTACCGCTTCTGCCTGCTGTTTTGGTTTCCACGCTTTGTAGCACTTCTTTTCTCTTTTTCAACTTTTATTATTTTTCACTTTATTTATTTACGACATTTATATGCCGCCCTTCTCACCCCGAAGGGGACTCAGAGCAGCTTACAAGGTATATATACATACAGTATTATTATTTCTGGTATTTATATCCCGTCTCTTCTCTACCCCGAAAGGGGGACTCAGGACGGCTTACATAGGCAGCAATTCGATGCCGATACATGAACAACTAATACAATAACTATTAAACAAAACCATCAAACCATTAAAATACATAAAATACATAAAGCCATTAATTAAACAGTATAAAATCTTAATTACCAATAAAACTATATCCTCATATAAATCGTCTTTCCAGTCGATTTCAACCAAAGTGCTGCTTTATGTCTGCTGACTAATGGCCTGGTCCCACAACCACAATTTTACTTTCTTCCTGAAAGCCAGGAGGGATGGGGTCAATCGTATCTCATTTGGAAGCACGTTCCACAGGCGGGGGGCCACCGCCGAGAAGGCCCTGTCCCTCATCCTCACCAGCCACGTTTGCAATGTTGGTGGAAGCGAGAGCAGAGCCTCCCTGGATGATCTTGGGTTACGAGGTGGGATGTAGAGGCAGACGCGTTCAGACAAGTAAGCTGGGCCAGAACCCTTTAGAGCTTATATTATATTATTATCATAGTACAATATCAGTATTATATATTACTATATTGTACTATGCCATTATATTGTAATATTATTAGTAATATTACATGTAATATAAATATAGGTAAGGGCAAAGGTTTCCTCCAGTCGTGTCCGACTCTGGGGTGTGGTGCTCATCTCCATTTCTAAGCAAAAGAGCCGGTGTTGTCCATAGACACCTCCAAGGTCATGTGGCCAGCATGACTGTATGGAGAACCATTACTTTCCCACCGGAGCAGTACCTATTGATCTACTCACATTTCAATGTTTTTGAACTGCTAAGTTGGCAGAAGCTGGGGCTGACAGTGGAAGCTGACACCGCTCCTCAAATTCGAACCTGCAACCTTTCGGTCAACAAGCTTAGCTGCTCAGCGCTTTAACATACTGTGCCACTGGTGGCTCCCACGTGAATGTTACAATTGGCCACCTTGATTAGCATTGAATAGCCTTGTAGCTTCAAAGCCTGGCTGGTTGCTGCCTGGGGGTCTCCTTTGTTGGGAGGTGTTAGCTGGCCCTGATTGATTCTTGTCTGAAATTCCCTTATTTTTTGAGTTAATGTTTTCTATTCCAGAACCAACATAATTTTCTTCCCTAACCAGAGCAACTAATAAATCATAATTATATATTTTTATTGGGCCTAACAGCAGGAGCTCACCCCACTGCCCTGGATTCGAACCACCAACCTTTCAGTCCGCAAGTTTAGCAGCTCAGTGATTTAGCCCACTGTGCCACCCATGAGACTTTTTACACTCACCGATATCCCAGGAATGGATCCCAGATTATCTTCTTATCCCAGATTATCTGGCAGTGGAGACTCATATATTCCAGTTTAAAGCAGATAATCTGGGATCAGATCCTGGGATACAGGGCAGTGTGGAAGGACCGTATATGTTTACATCATAGATGCTGGCAGTGATATATTACCTAGTAAAATATTTAATGGACTATAATATTAATTTACTGTAAATAATACTAAAACTAACAGACTAGACTAGTCAGTAAAATAGCATCACGAAAACAATGGCATGATGGTCAACCTTATCATACCTAAGCCAGGGAAGTTCCACGGGGAATATTGAGACTACCAAAGGATTTGGATTTCCCCATATTAGTGATGCAGCTACACTGAAGAATGAATAAAGTTTGACAACACTTGGATTGCCATAGCTCGGACTGCAGTGGAATCGTGGAATTACAGTTTTACAAGGTCTTTAACCTTCTCCGCTGGTGCTTCACCAAAGTATGACTCCCAAGTGTCCATAACATTGAGCCATGGCAGTGAATGTGTTGCAGACTGGGTTGTTGTAAGTTTTCCGGACTGCATGGCCATGTTCCAGAAGCATTCCCTCCTGAGATGTCAACTGCATCTATGGTAGGTTGTGCAGGTGAAACGTCAGGAGAAAATGCTTCTGGAACATGGCCATACAGACCGAAAAACGTACAACAACCCAGTGATTCCAGCCATGAAAGCCTTCGATAATACATTGTTGCAGACTGCATTCATTCTACTGTGTTGATGTAGCTTATGAGAATGGATTTTGGGAGCTGTAGACCAATACTTGACCTTGCTCCATCACTATTGTACAGACAACAAACATTACCTCTTTTGGTTGTTAGGTTCATAATTCCAGTCTATCTCCACGGCTCCAATGTAGTATCTTCTGCTGATTGCAACACTCTTTTCCAAAAGGCACCAAAGAATGATGAAGATGGAGCTCCACATAGTCTGCCATACACCGAACAAGTCCAAGAGGCTGAGGGTCAATTTGGAAATGAACCCAGAAGTTTTGACTATTCAATGGCCTTCATCCTCACCAAAACGCATGGAGAAACAGGACACAAAACTACAAGTTCGGACAAGGCACTGACGCCTTTCGATGTGGTTGCTGGACAGGGAAGTCCAGCAATGTACTGAGATGGGACGTGTTTGCTACCAGCAGGGAGGGGAGCAACAGGATGGAGCAGGGAAAGCCAAAGGAAAAGAGCTCAGACGACATTTAACCTCTTCCTTGCCATACAAATTCAATTTTTTTAAAAAGTTATGGATGTCAAATAGTCTTGCAAGGCCAGGCATGAAAAAAATAATCATCATTTTGATCCTGGCATAAGGCTTCATTTGCTGGCATCCAATGTGAAGGTTGCATTTACCTACTAGATGTTTGCAAAAGTGACCATAAGATGGAAATGGCGTCATGTTGCAGTCCAAAAATTATATTTTCCTAGCTCTAATGTATCAGCCGTTGGTTAGAACTTAAGAAACAAAGGATAACATTTCCCATATATCAATGATACCCTGACATGTTCCATATATAAACCATGTGCGATGTGTTTCAAACAATAACATCCCAATGCTTGGGTTGGAAGCTGCCTCTGCCAATCATTTTACCTCTTCAGGTGTGTCAGACTAAAGATCGACTTCAAGTAAATTCCTGGGTGGGAAAATGATGGTGAGAGATCAAATCTATCAAATCCACAATTTTGACCTCCAAACCTGCCTTCAACTTATACATAAGGTTGACTTATACATGAGTAAATTATTATTATTATTATTATTATTATTATTATTATTATTATTATTATTAGAAACACAACAAGATGAGTCCACAGCAGACACTCTGCTGGCTGTTGTATTGGATCACACATTGGACACTTCCCAAGTGTCTAGGACTATGTCATGTATTGGCAAATAATCCGTGCAGATCCCAGTAAGGTGGCCTTCTGCAGCTGGCAGATGGTAATCTTGTCAGCGCCGATTGTGTTTAAGTGCAGGCCAAGGTCTTTAGGCACTGCACCCAGTGTGCCAATCACCACTGGGATCACCTTGACTAGTTTGTGCCAGATATGATGATCATGATGATTTTTATTATTATTATTTCATGTCAAAAGCGTTGCTTAAACAAGTTTTAAAACTGATAAAATAAAAGGATCAGAAGCAGCTGAATAGTTTTAGACCAAACACAGGCAACAGCAACTTAATTGTCTGTAGCTTTAAACAGTTCTTCCTCTGTGCATGAGGCAGGGCATTGTGGACAAGCCTACAGAAGCAGAGTTGTTTGTCCTGCTCCACAATTGCACAAGGTGGGGGATTCTTCTACGTTGTGTAATTTTGCCAGATTGTCTTTTGATCTGCCAACTCTGCTTCTGAGTCTGTTCATGGACTTCCATGTTGCCCAATCTTGGTTTGCCCTTGGAGGAAGACCCTCATAGGGGCCATCCAGTTGGAATTGCCTTATTTAGCTGCCCACGGGGATATTCTTGTTGTGTCTGAGGGAACATTCAGAGGAGTCCTGGTTCTGATTGAACTCTACCTTGATTTAAGGCTACTGGGAATAGGCTGATAGCCATGCAGTGGGTGGCTTTCACAGTGTTCAACCTTATTTCTCTCGCAATTGGTGGCAATTGTGAGAGGGTGGGGGCAATGCCAGCTAGCTTATAGAGTCTGTCAACAGGTGTAGGTTTAAGACATCCTGTGATTATTCTACATATCTCTTTCAGTGTTATATTTACCTGCTTCACGTGGGCAGATTTATGCCAGACAGCAGTTGAGTAAGACAAGGCCAGGGGTGATAAGCTTATTGATTTTTGGGTCTGCACCCCATGCACTATTAGTGAGTTTCCGCAGGATGTTAATTGCATGCAGCTACTTTGTGTTTGGTGTCCACACAGTGTTTCCTAAATGTTAGTGTCAAATCTAAGGTGACACTGAGATATTTAGAGTGGGAATAGTGTTCAAGCTCTTGGCCTTCCCAGGTAACCTTCAGTTTCAGGTTGGCTCCACGATTGCGTAGATGGAAAACACACTCTTGTGTTTTGGTTAGGGTTAGGCTTCAGGTAGTTATCTTTGCAGTAGCTGGAGAGATCTTTCAGTAAGACGAGACTGTCTTACTGTTTTAATGATTGTTTACTGTTTATGGATGTATTTTAATTTGATTTATGTCTAACTGTAATTGTATAATTGTAATTGAATTTTGCTATTACCTATGTGGAAACCGCTTTGAGTCCCCTTCGGGGTGAGAAAAGCGGTATACAAATACTGTAAATAAATAAATAAATAAGTTGGGTTTCAATTGTTTTAAAGTCTTGTGCTTGTGTTGTTAGTCCAAGTTCATAAGCATATATAAAGCTCTTTTTGAGTGGTTGTAAGTGTGTGGGTATGTATGTGTGCCATCTCCACTTCTCTGCAAGTCTGAAATTCCCAGAACTCCTGCTGTGTAGAACCTAGCCTTCAGCACAGTTAAACTATAAATTCAATAATTTTTTTGCCACAATTACACCACTACAGAGGAGAAATCTAATTATTCCCGTTGTTCCATTGAGGAATTCAGTAACTCTTGGAAAAAATATGAATAGTGGGACCTGCAAGGCAGGGATAAGAACATTGTGAAAGCAGTTGATCAGGAAGCATAGATTGTCATCAAATAAGTAACACCCAAACTCTATTGTTTTCGGTGATAACCTCTTCTCCACATTCATGTCTAACTTTTGAAAAATGACGCAAGGAAGGGATAAGGAAGTTTCTTATCATGCTTATATATTTTTTGTCAGAAAGTTTTGGAAAGTTTGCTGGAGTGTTTCTTGTCTGTGTCTTGTTTCCACTGCATTCGGTGAACAAGGCGTAAGTGGTGATATTGCAGGGGGTAATGCATCATGTGTCAAAGTCCTTAACACAAAATGCATTATCAAAGAAAGCAAAGGAGTCTAAAGCAAAAACAGTGCTCAAAGTGAAAATGGCCCTGCATGAATACTTTGGAGTAGACACAAGGAGCCAGTCACGCATAATGCCATAAGGGAAGAAGCCAAGAAAGGAAACCAAACCACATTCTGGTGGTAAGAGATACAGTTGAACCTTTCCTCCACAGGCAGTTCCTATACTACACGTAATTACTAGGGCTGGGCAACCATGGAAAAATTTGTTTCTAAACTCGATTCGTTTTTAGGGGGGTTTTGCGTTTCGATTTTTAAAAGAATTCCGAAATTTTCCTTTAAAAAGTTTGAAATTTACGAAATTTCGGAAATTACGAAACAATTTCGAAACAATAACAAATCGATTCGTTAATGGCGGACGCGATTGCGCAATACGCTAAAAAACCCTCCAAATGGGGCAGGGGGAACTTCTGAAGCTTCCCTCTCCCTCTGTTGTTGACTGTTGGTGTGATAATTTATTTTTTTTCACTGATAAAACAAACAACAACCCTAAAACTTGCACCAGACATGCGGAAATAATAACGAAACGATTTCAAAACGATTTCGAAATGATTTCGAAACAATTACGAAACAATTACAAAACGAATTGAAAAATTCGTTTCGTTTTTTAGTTGCTCCTGAATGGTTCAATATCGCTTCGTTATAAAAAAAATAACGAATTAATAACGAATTACGAAATCGCCCAGCCCTAGTAATTACATACATACATATGCATGTTGTGGTGTCCACACTGTCACTTTCCTCAAGCTGCATGCTATTTTACTATTGCATGATGAAGAAATATAATCAGCAACAACTTCATGGCAAGTTTTCATGAACTATGTGATTCTTATCGTAGTAGCTCAGCAGTTACAGCAGTCAGAGGCTGATAGGTTCACTGAAGAGTCAGAAGGGATTGTGGGCTTTCCTGGGATTCAAAGTGATACAGGCCAAGGGAATGATCCATACCAAGGAAATGAAATTGCCTCAGATAGGGATGCAGGCCAGGAGAATGCAATTGTCTTTGAGCTATAAGGTCAGTCACAGGAGTTAGAAACAACATCCTTAAATAAGGGGTTGAGTGAAGACGAATTGGCAGAAAATTTTCAGAGGAGAGCACCTGGCAATACAGAGCTAAGCAAGGATTTACATTTGAAGATTAGGGTCAACTCCATAGATCAACAAGGCTCAGTGGGAAACAGACTTAGAAAGTCCATGGAAAATGCCACCATGTCTGTTATTAGTAGCTTGTGTTTACCTTAGAAATCCAGTTCAGGTAACATAGCGTATGGGTGAGAAGCTAGGCCTGAGTTGCCTGATCCTTGTTTCAAGTCAAGACTTGGTTTTGGATTCAAGTATCTTGGAAGTCTTCTATGGTCTTGTTTTGTATTCCTGCTCCAGTTTTTCTAAGTATATCTTTCGCTACATTTACTCCTATCTCCTTTGGATTGCTATTAATTAAATGTGGCTATCAATTGGACACCCAAAGGAATAGGCAAGAGGACTGTATGGATGAGGGAGGTAAATCCTACAGTCTTACCATAAAATAACTTTAACCTGGATTTTTAACCTGGATTTATACCTATGTCATCAGCACCCTACAAATCACTTTTTTGTCGTGTCAGGAGTGACCTGAGAAACTGCAAGTCGCTTCTGGTGTGAGAGAATTGGCCGTCTGCAAGGACGCCTGGATGATTTGATGTTTTTATCATCCTTGTGGGAGGCTTCTCTGAATGTAAGGAACTGCTTAATGCCTATACATAGTTCCTTATGACCACTCTGTTTTGTCTGCAGAATCTAGGCTCAGTATTGCTGCTGCTGTTGTTTTAATCAGCAAATGTTTAATTAGAATGCTGCACCGGAACATTCAGATATGAATTCCAATTATCACGACATTGCTGTACAACATCCTAAAACATCAAGAGCTGGAACATGCTAGCATAGCCATGCTTCACACTGCATGGTTTTTGCTGAAAGCATGTTCAAAAAGCTGAAAGTTGAGAACAAGCACTAGTAAACCTGGAAATTTCTGACTCATCCTTTGACAAGTAAATGGCTGTTATGGCTGAAGAATTTCCCCCTTTGCAAGTATTACTCATTTTGTTCATTGTAAAAACAAGTCACCTTCCTTCCTGGGCTCTATGAAAGTGAGATGATTAATTAAGATCTTTTATGCAGATCTTCTTCTACTACTATCACTGTTACGTTGTTCATATGTTTTGCTATATACATACCTTTTAA